CCTTCTTCAGACTGAGTCCTTTCCTTTGTTTGACTGCCAGTAAGTTCTTTCTAGAGTTTAGCTAGAATCTCTTCTCTTCTAATCAACTGATGGACTCTCCTAAGCATGTGCATCAGGAGGTAATCTTCTTTGAAATCTGTAGGATCTTCAGCTTCTTCACTTTGGATGGTGGCACTTGCCACTGAATAGCAGAGCAGAGCAGAGCAAGATTAAATCTGTGTCATCCACACCACTATCCAGGCCATTGCCTTCAGAAAAAAAAGAGGGAGGCCTTGATGTTAAGCAGCTTGTTCTTTGGTTGTCCTGAGCACGAAAACATCTTGGCCTCGCTGAGTCCTTCTATAAGGGCATGTCAGTTCTATGCTCTGCTTGTGCAAGAAGCATATGGGTGAAGGTCTGCATCTTTCAGGAACTGCCAACTTAATTTCATGGGGGATGGAGCGATGAATCCCCCAAGGATACACCTCCACAGCCAACCTGACAATCTGCACAGGGGAGTTGTGTTGTGCATGACCTTTATGCACATGCATTTACATAGACAGGGTGGCACATTTGCGTGCTTGTGAAACTCTCTTTCAGCTTTGTGATGGCATCTGAAGTGGCAGGTGCTGCAAAGCCATTATTTCAACTAACAATCCAATGAGAAACAATATTGATGGCGGGGCGCAGGGGAGAGATTAGTCATCCAAATCCTGAGTTTGGCATGGATTTCTTATTCTTTGGGGTGAGAACAAACTCCAAACTCTCTGATCTTCTAATGAAGGATGCTGCTTTTAAAGGGAGAAATGGGATTTTCTTCAGAGAGGCTCTTGTCAAACTGCCAGCTGCTAAGTAGTAAAACTAACTTTGATCTGCCGCTAACCTGATCATGAAAGGACCTGATTGTTTCTCTGAACTCATAGAATCAGCAAATCCTAGAGTTGGAAATGACCACAAAGGCTACTTAATCCATCCTCAAGCAGGAATACATAGCTACAGCACTCCTGAAAAAATGCCCATCACATTCCTAAAAAATGTCCACCAAACATATGTTTAAAACCTCCAAAGATGGAGAGTCCACCACCCTTTGAGGCAGTTTATTCAACTGAAAAATGCCTCTTAGAGGAAAGGAGTTTTTCCTAATCTTTAGGTGAAATCTCTTTGCTTGGATTATGTTCTTTTCTATTGGATTATGTTTTGTTTTCTGGAGCAGCAGAAAACAAGCTCACTCCACCTTCTCCATGACATCCCCTGCTCCTTCACAGAATGTTAGAGTTGGAAGAGACCCCAAGTACCACCCAGTACAATCCCCTACTGCCATGCAGGAAGACACCATCAAAGCACTATCTGGGACAGATCCACAGATCCAGCCTCTATTTAAAAACCTCCAAAGGAGGAGACACTATCATCCTCCAAGGCACTGTATTCCACTGTTGGACAGCTCTTACAGTCAGAAAGTTCTTCCTAATGTTTAGGCAGATCTATTTTCCTATAATTTACATAAAGGTAAAGGTATTCCCCATTTACAAGGTTGTCAAATTGTGTATGACCGTAGGGGACGGTGTTCATCTCCGTTCCTAAGCCAAAGAGCCAGTGTTGTCAGAGACTATTCTGTGATCCTGTGGCCAGCATGACTGCACAGAATGCTGTTTACCTTCCCACCAAAGTGGTACCTATTTATCTACTTGCATTTGCATCTTTTCAAACTGCTAGGTTGGCAGAAGCTGGGACTAGTGATGGGAACTCACCCCATCATGCAGTATCATCATGCAGTATCATCATGCAGATGGGCAGGTTGGCCTCGAACTGCCAACCTGCCCATCTTGCAATCAACAGTCAGCGTCTTAACACTTGAGCTACATGCATTGCTCCATATCCTAGTTTCTGGAGTAGCAGAAAGCAAGGTTGCTCCATCCACAATATGACATTCCTTTCAATATTTAAACCTTCTCCACCCCAGGGAACCAGCTCCCTAAGCCACTGCTCATAGGGCTTTGTGGTTTTCAGTCTTTTC